CTTGGCTCCAGAAAAACATCTCTCCAGCTTGACCGCAATGATTCACGAGCATGTGAGCTGCTGTGGGACAGGGACGGTGCCACACAGGAGGTCGGTCTTTTCATTGGGCCCTTTTCATAGCGAGATATTGCATCAGGGCGATCTCTCAGAGCTGCTTTGCTCTAAAATTTGCCCTTCAGCAGCCAGGAATGGATGGATCCCTTCCCTATGGACGCCTCCACAAAACACACGTTGGCTTTGGGGGGAGCTGCAAAATAATTTCTTTAAATGCCTTTTTTTGGGGGGTGGATTTACCCATTTTTTTTCAGATTCAGCTGAAAAAAAAATGGGATTTCTGCATTGCCAGACTCATTACTCAGGCTCTTTGCTATTTTAACCTAAAACTTACAATATTGTCTGGCATCCAAGGAGTGCTTTTATATTTCAAAGCTCTTTGCAAACTCTCTGCATCCAGGTGTGTTAGCTCAGACTAAGCAGCTGTCAGAATCCAGGGGCCTGATTCTGCATTGGCAATCCTTTTGCTTCCCCTCTTGCCCCTCCTGAGAGGGAAAGAGCATATCAGGAGTGATGGAGAAGGTAACAATCTTGGAAATTTGGAAAGCTAATGGGTCTGAAGTTGAGATGGAGGGAACAGTGATGGAGAAACCCCACGGACGCGGCACAGTTTGCGGTGGCTGTGGCAGTTTGCATTGTCTCCGCTTGGCACAGCATTAACATTTGGTGCGGATTTGCCTGGGAGCTCATTGAAACTACCCCTGGGATTTATCCCTTGATGGGATCTGTAAAGTTCTGTGGTCCCACATCTGTGCCTGCGGTACGTGTGTGTGGGTGTGGGAGCGAATGCATGTGACGGTCAGGACAGGCTGCGGTTTTAGCCCTGGCGTCCCGGCATTATTCCGTGTCTGCCAAGGAGCGAGGGTCCCGAGCCCCCGCTGCCGCTCACCCCTGCTCACCTGGGTGCCCCTGTGTGCCACGGAGGGTGGGCAGCGGGATGCCCGAGCCACCTGGGTGCTTGCATCCCCCAGCACAGCCTCAGAGCCTGGGGTACTGGCGATAAACCATCGTGAGGACGTTAGAGAAAGGGGGATGCTCGGGGAGCGACGGCCACGTGCTCGAAGGGCTCCTGCACTGCACAGCGAGGGCTAATGCAGGTGCTGGAGGTGCTGGACCTGCCCTGCTCCCCCCGCATGCCTGGGCTCCCCAGCTGTGAGCTCACCAGGGAGGGGGGTGTGTTTCAAAAAGGACCGATTCCTAAATTACAGATGGGGAAACTGAGGCATGGCAGTGAGCCTGGGGGCATGGGGAGGGTATGGGCGAGCTGCAGCCCAGGGCTCCCAGCCGTGCTGGCTGGTGTGCCCACTCGGGAGTGACCCAGCCGACAGCACGGCCCCAAATGTGCTGGTCGAGGCTCCAGCTCCAGCTCCAGCTCCAGTTCCAGCAAGGGTTAAGGCGGCGGCTGCGAGATGGAGCCTGCAGAGGCCCCTGAGCTCCGGAGGAGGAAGATGAGCATGGCGAGGAGACTGTGCTTCCTCCGGTGCGAGGCTCCCCCACCGAGGAAATTGTCAATTAGCGACATAGTTTTAACCACACAGCGCAGATTCCCATGATCCGGTGGCTGCTCAGCCAGAAGTCCCCATTATTGGTGTTTGTGTCCCCTGGGAGCCCAGGGGCCCTGCGAGATCAGGTCCCCGCCGTGCTGCTGGCAGGACCGCAGGGGTTTGCTGTGGCTCCGAGCACTAGCAGCAGCCACGAGGGCTGGGAACCTGATGCCTTGCTCCGTGCCTCAGTTTCCCCATCTGCAACGCATGGAAAGCACGGAGGAGGAGGTGGCTGGGCAGAGGCTGAAGGAGGGGCAGAGGGAGCCAGCCTGGGTTCCAGCGGGCTGCCGGTGCTGCAGCCCTCCCCATCGCTGCCTTTTGGGTGGGCATCGCTGCCTCCCTGCCTCTGCCCTCAGGGCACAGGATCAGGCCCCAGATTCATTTCGACCCTTCAGGTGCTGCAAACCCGCAGCCCTTCCCACATGGGAAAACATCATTCCCTGCCCTCAGCAGCTCCGAAGGGGTGGAGAGGGGATGGAGCAGGAAAGCACGGAGAGACCCTCGGCCACCAGACGCAGGCAGCTCCCTGGTCACAACAGAAATGTGGCTGCTAACAGATTCGCCCCTTTTTACCAGTCTGCACAGCGGGGTTGCACCAAAGGGGAGGCCCACAGCCATGCGCCCCCTTTTCCCTCTCCTCAGCCATCCTTGTGCACATCCCTTTCTGCCTCAGTTTCCCTAGCAAGGCGATGAACAACACCGGCCCCGTACCAGTAAAGCGCGGCGGCTGGCTGGGACAGCTCTCGGCTCCCCAAAAGCGAGCCGGGCAGATCAGCTCGCACCGCACCGGCGGTCGCCCGCCTGCCGCCCCCCTCCCCAGCCCCGACCTCCAGAGCTGCTGAATCATGTCTTGGGAAGCGGCTCCCGGCGGCCTCCACGCGTGACCCACTTCTCCCGGCGGCTGAAGCCAACTGGGAATCGCGGCCGGGAGAGCGGCGGCCGCCGGTTCTCCCAACCCCGGCCGGGGCTGCCCTGCTTCGGCCAGGCACACGCTTCCCCGGGGAGCTCAGGTTTTGCTCGTCGGAGCTCGCGGGGGGAAGCGGGGCTCAGGGCAGAGGCACGAAGCCCGCTTTGGGGAGGGGGGGTCGCTGCCAGGGGGGGCAGCTCAGCCACCGGAGCCACGGCACGGGGATGCAGGCCGGTGCACTGCTCCGACCGGTGCTGCTGGAGGGGATGGCAGCTCGCCCAGATTACACTGCCGTCCCCGGGGACGTGCACCGAAAGTCCAGACCTCACTTTAAGCATCCCAGGGAAGCTCTGGCTGAGGGAACGGGTGGTGGGTTTAGCTGGGACGTGCCAGGACACGTGCCATGGCCAAGCATGTAAAGGCTCCCAAGGAGCTGGGGTTCACCCTGGGAGCCAGCTCAGCCCTGTCCTGTTGGCACAGCGGGGGGGAAACCCCTCACTATGGTGCCAGAACTCATCCTGGAAAAAAAAAAAAAAACAAAAAAAACAAAAAAAACAACAACAACAACAACAAAAAAAAAAAAAAAAAACAAAAAAAAAAAAAAAACAAACACCAAAACTGGGCCAGAAACTTCTACTGGCAAAGTTTGAGTCCAGACCAGAGCTCAGCCACATGGTCCCTGCTGCCGCACCTCACTGCCCCTCGTCCCCAGCCCTGCTCTGAGCCCCAGGACTGAACCCAGAGACACCAAAAGCAGTGGGCTGCACTGGGTGAATCCCCCATGGCATTGCCACCTTCATGTCAGCCGTGGGCACCCGGCCACCCTCCCTGTGCTCACGAGCCGGGGGGGCACCTGGCTGCGCTTGTGGATTGGGGCCATGGCATGACCTGGGTGCCAGGCAAGGAGCTGGTCACGGATGGCTGCTGGCCAACCCCGTGCCGAAGCTCATCGGATGGAGAAAAAGGGGAATTTTTAATTCCCCCAGACCTCTGCCATGAGTGGGTTTCAAACCCAGCCCAGGTGGGTTTGGTGTCCCCAGCTGCAGGGCTGAGGCATCTCCAGACCGGCTGCACGGAGTGGGGGACCCTGGGGGGATGGACTCAGCCCTCAGCTGGCTCTGAGAGAAGGAAATGTTTGAGAAGAAGGCAGAGAGGGGACTCAAATGTCATTTTGGATTCTCTGCGGAGGGGTCTTGCTAGGAAAATCCCATTGCAGTGCTGGCAGCAAGCCTGGAGGGGAACCGGCTCTGCTCACCAGTACGTCCAAGGGAGATGCTGCTCTCTGCAGATCCCGTGGGGTTGGGGTGTTAGCTCTCAGCCTCTTGGAAAACTTTTAGATGATTATTAATAAACAGTGCACCCATCCAAGGGGTTCTCCGAGCACCCACAGTCCCCTGCTGGAGGAGTAAAATGGGAAGGACGCAGCCCAGTCTCCTGTCTCCCACCTGGGGTGCCTGGGGTTGGGTCCAGGCAGGAGCCTGGCCAGGGACATCCCTGCGTGGCAGGTCCCCGGGACGGGTGGTGGGAGCGTTGTCTCTCTGGAGAGCATCTTTGCTGTTTGCCAACAGCTCAGTGCGGGCATCTCACCAGCCCCCCTCCTCGCCCTCCCCGTCCTCCTCTCCCCTCTTAAATATGGGAATTGTCCTGCTGGTGCTGCACCCCACTGATACCCCAAACTCCTGGTGCCCACAGGACCCCGTGGGATTCCCACTCGGCACTTTCCTGGGGTACCCAGACAAGGGTCGCACCCCCGGACAACACAAGAAAACCCACCTGCCTCTGTTCCCCACCTCAAGAGCATCTCCCCCGTTCTGGTTCCAGGCACGGGGTTTGCGAGCTGCCCGTCTCTGCCGCACAGCCCCACGCCGTCGCGAGATGCTCCACACCCCACTCCCGGGGTGGCTGGGTCCCTGCCCCCATCCCTGCCCCCTTCTCCTGCCCGTGCCCCCCACTCCCCCCTTCCGCCGCCAACTTCAGCGCTCTCCCTCCCGCCGACGCTGCCGCCGGAGGGACAGATGGTGCCCTCGGAGACACACCTGCTTGGGTTTTATCTTGGCTTCCAACTTGCATTATTTCACCCGCCAGCCTGCTACGTACCGATGCCATCCACACACAGCTAGCTGGGGGGGGGGTGTTGTAAAAAAAAAATATACCCCAACCCACCCAAGCCCGACGCGGCTCTCCCCCACCCGCCGCCACCCCCCAGCTCCGTCCGAGGGCTAAGGTGACCTTTGCAAGGGAAGCAGCTTTCCCCAAAGTCCCCGGCGAGGCTCCCCCCGCTCCCCCCGCCATCACCACCCGGCTCAAAGGTGTGGAAATCAGAGGAGTGCTGTGAAACCCTCCCTGCTCCCAGCCAGCAAATACATCCAGCCAGCTCCCCACTCGCTGTCATTCATTTCAGTTCAGTTATATATATTGTTCTGCCTCTTTCTCAGCTATAGAGATTTAGTTGGATTTGCTGCTTCCTTCTTTTTTTTTTGGTGTTTTTTAAATACCTGATGAGTATGGAGACCCCAACGTCCTCGCAGTTTGCATATACTCTGCTCCATGTCTCTTGAATAACCTTTTTTTCTGCGTCTGAAATCTCTTCACTTCTTTCCCATCTCTCAATCTCCATTTCTCCCTGGACTTTCTCCATGAAAAACAGCCGGCACGATCCTCCGGGAAGCCAGGAGGAGATAAAGAGAGATGTGTGTGAGCGGGTATATCCTGCGAGAAGAGACAAGGTGTTTGCTCAGCGGCCGTGCGGGTGCTGGCGGCTCTGCCGACGTGTGGATGTATATGTGTGTGTGCGAGCGCGGCTGCCTGTCAGCGTGTTTATATATGTAATTTAAAAAAATATCCTGGAGGTATGATGCATGCGATTAGATTTCAGATCTCCTAGTGCTGTCCATGGCTGTAGTTAGCTTCAGCTCAGCTCGGATGTGTGTGGCTGACTGATGGGGAACTGCCTAAAAGTAAAATATTCAAAGGCATTGCAAGACCAGCCTCTTTACCAATGTGTGAACGTGAGCTCACTTTCTCCCTCTCTCCTCCTCTCTCCCACTCCTCCCTCCTTCCCTTTTTTTTTTTTTTCTCCCCAAAAGGGAGGGATGAGGGAGATGTTCTGGGCAACATCAGGACGGTGCTGGTGGGGGGGAGGTAGGGCTGGAAGTTTTTTTTTCAGCCCTTGTAAACAGCTCAGAGGAAATTCAGAATCCAAAGTTGAAGTTATCGCAACCGCTGGCTGTGCTGAGCTCTGCCTCGGCTCTCCCCCCTGTGCTTCCTTATTTTGCAGGCGGTTGTGTTTTGAAGGACAGACCCTCGCTGGCCTCTGATTCTTGGGTTGCACAGAGAGCCGGGGCGAGAGGGGAGTGTGAGGCACCCCCACCCACGGGCATCTCTCTGCCACCCAGAAAAGATCATGGTCTGTCCCACGGGGACTTCTTCAATTATGAGAATTTGCTCTCCCTTCTCACAGCAGGACCCCATTGTAAAGGGATTCAGAGTTAAGGCACTCGTGAAATGAATATATTATTGTTGTTCTGCGATTGCATCGCTCCTGGTAGCATCTTGGCAGGGATGAGGAGCGCGGGAACACCTCCACGCCAAGCTTCCCGCTGCCTTCGTGTGTGTGCTTTTGGGCTGTTTTTTACCCAAATGCCATTTCCAGCTCCCTGACAATCCGGCATGTTAAACCCGCAGCACAGTCCATTTGCACAGAGAGAAGGAAAATACTACGGAGGCTTGTAATAACCGACAATCCCCCAGAGGGGGATCAGAGACAAGAGAAGCAGCCTGGTGTGCACAGCCGCCTCCCGCACCCGCTGTGCACCCTCACAGGGCAGGCAGACAGACAGACGGACAGACAGGCTGAGGTTGCAGCTCTGGCACCCATGCAGGCAGGGGCTGGGGGGTGGCTGAGCACTTTTGGGGGGCTGGAGCTTTGTTATTGCAGATCTGTCGAGGCTTTTTGCTCTATTTCTCCTGCAAACCAGCCTCGGCCACCTCCCCGTTAACAGCAGCCAGACCAGTGGTGTCAGCAGATTTGCTTTTGCAGATCTAATGAGAGCTGACGGAGAAGATGCTGCCCACAGGTCCCCCACTGTGGGTCCCCCACCCAATTTGCACTGGGATGGACTGGGAGACCCGCATGTCTGCGAACCCCTTGGCTCGGGGACACAAAGCTCGGCTCACCTGGGAGCTGCTGAACCCACCAGTGTAAAATCACAGCAGCGTGGCCAACCCTACCTGGACAGAGGTCGGGCATCATTCAGGTCCCAAATACCACCACCACCGGCTTCGAAATCATCAGATTTTCACCCAGCAGCTTGAAGTTTGGATTTGCCTTCTGTCCATTAGCCACTGGGATTAGCACCCGTGAGCCCGAGCTCAAATATTAACTACAATGTCCCTGGGTGGCCACCACAGAGCAGAGAAACCCCTCTGGACCCAGGATGGCATGGCCAAGCTTATCACCCTCCCTTAAAAATGCAGGGGAAGAGGCGCTGTGCTTAGACCCAGCTTAAAACCAGAACAAAACTGCAATGCAGCATTAGTGCTTTCAAAAAGGGAATAATCTCCAATTCTGACAAATAGGAATGCTTGGGTGATAATCTAAGTGGAGCATTGGTTATTAGTTGCTTTGTGTTTAAAGAAAAGGATTCTTCAAAGCTTTCGTATGTTGTGTCTTAATCAATAGTGGGCTCACAGCCTGGTATGGGGTTACATGGGGAGCCTGGCTGCAGCGAGTGCTTCGCCTCGCTCCCCAGCACCAGGAGTCAAAGGGTCTTGGCTCGAGTCTCCATTTAGAAATATAAGAATATTAGAAAATATTAGAAAAGTGAGTGAGAAATCCCCCAGCCTTTTCTAGGTTTCTGCCTCCCTCTTTGGGGACATCACATCTGGCCCTGGCCCCGTTCCCACGTGCCGTCCCGCTCCACAAACAGGAGGCGGTGAGTAAAGCGGCGGCGATGCTCCGCTGCCTCAAAATCCCGAACGAACTCCAACAGCCCCTGAACTTCTGCGTCTCGTCCCAGGTGTGGGACATAAATCAGGGGCAGGAGCGCAGGCACACGCCGTCACGCGCCAGACGCCCGTTTCCATGGTTTCCTGCGACTATTGCTCTTGAGGGCTCGGGGTTAGATGGCGACTTGTTCCAGAAGGAGAAGGTTGCTGTGTTGACACCATTGCCGCAAAATCCCGGCTGGGGATGACACCGCAGGCAGGCGGCATCGTCCTGTGATGTCCTGCCAGCCTCTATGGCCCCGTAGTGACTCGGGTGACCCCCCAGGTCCCTTTGGCGCAAGGTGCTGTGCGGAGGGAGGTGGCAGCCCTGAGGGTTGGGATGGTATTTGCTCGCCCTGCCCAGCCCAAGCTGCCCGTGGTCACTGCCTGCTGTCCCGGAGGGGAGCTCAGCACAGTGCCCGCTGCCGTAGCCGGGTGGCCCAGGGCCAGGGGACTCAGGGATGGGGACAGAGGACTTGGTCCCCACGGCCAGTGGGATGGCTGAGATGGGATCAGCCTGAGTAATCCCTATGGAAGAAATCATTCCATCTCGCTCAGATCCCAAATCATTTCAACACCCTGCTCCCTCTCCCCTCTCCAGTTGAGCCTCGCAGCCTCCCTGCCTTCCACCTCCTTCCCACAGACCTGTCCCTGGGATGGGGTGGCACCGCAGCCCCAGCCCTGCCAGCGAGGCCCCGGCCCTGCCGAGCCCGAGCCTGCTCCTCCCGTGGATCTGCACGGCAGGGAGAGATCAAGTGCCCGTTCCAGCCGCCCTCCGTTTGCGCGGCTGCAGGGGGTGAGGATGGGTTTCCAGCCCCTCCGAGCCTCTGCTCGCACCGTGCTGTGTTCCTGCGGGGTCTGTACCCGCCTGCTGACGGCTTCTCCCACGCCCCCCCGTGCCCTCCCACATTGCCTCTCCTCCTCCCTGTGCGCTGGGTGCAATGAGAAATGTACTTGGCTCCCGATCCTCGAGTGGGAGGTGAAGGCAAAAAAACCCGAGACTTCAGCTCCACAGCGTGTGGGATGTGGATGATGGCAGATCCCCACCCTTGACTCCTCCACTGTCTCTGGGGCGAAGGCGGAAACCCCAAATCCAGACCCTTGGGGCTGAGCCCACCTTCCCTCATGCGTGGGGACAGCCTCATCATTCAGTTCCTGGAGAAAAATGGGTGACTTCTTGTGTCCCCTGCAAAGTCAGCTCCCTGGGACCTTCTGACAAACACCATTAGTTGGGGTGGCCCCAGGAAGAGACCCTGCAAGCTCCCTCAGGGAGTGCTTTGGGAAGGAGCTGCAGGAGCTGCCCCAAGCCCTTGGTGCTGGTGTGATGCCGAGACCCCAGCAAGGACCCCTTCTCCAGACCCTCGAGACACCGACCTGGCCAGAACAGGAGCAATCCTGGGATTTTAAGCGAAATAAGGCTGAAGGCACCAGTGTGGTAAAGCCCAAGGCATCCAGAAGAGCAGCCCTGACTCTGCCCCTTTTCCCTCTGAGCTGGACAAGGTGGGAGGTGGAAGATGCTCATAGGGCTCATTGTCATTTTTGCTCCCACTGACATGGCCAAGGACACATGTGTGTGCCAGGTTGGGTGTTCCTCCTTCATCCTCCTCCTGGAGCCGCTCCAGGCTGCTGTGCTATCTCACCCGGAGATGTTGGACTCGTCACCCTGAACACTGCTGAAACAAAACCCCTGGTCGCCAGCCCGGCTCACCCAGCATTGCCCCCAGCGTGCAACGCCTCTCTCCCCCTTCCTAATCCAGCCCGGCTGCCAACTGCAAAATCCTGGCCTGAAAAGGAATAACGAGACTTTAGGAAATGGCTTTGCAGTGCCTGCTACCCAGGGAGGGAAGGATTTAGCCTAAATCCTGTATAAATGCTCTGTACTTATTGCAGGTTTCCTTCCCCCAGCTTCTCTGATCCCAGGAGACCCGTGCGCAATCCCGGCGCTCCAGCTCTGCGCCGGCAGTGCCGGTGGCCTGCGAGCTGCCACCGCGGGAACAGGCTGGAGGACAACGTGCCAGGGGTGTTAAAAGGGGCTACAAGCCAACCGGACCCCCCAGATCCAGCTGGGGTTGCACCACTGCCTGTATGTCCGTCCCGTGGGGGCCGTGAGCCATTGAATCACACAGCCATCGGCCGCATCGCTGGCACGCTCGGTCGCTAATTTACCCATAAAGACCAGTAGTATTGAGAGACTGGGATTCCCCCAGCTCCATGTCCTCGGTGTGGCTGGGGACAGCTGGGTGAGGGAGGTGACAGTTCGGGGTGCTGCTGTCGTGTGTGTGTGTGTGTGTCCCCACCTCCGCTGGCTCCGGGCAGCCCTGGAGAAATGAAACCCAGGCTGCTTGTGCAGGGCAAAGCCGGGGGCAGACATTCCTCCTCTGATTGAAACCAGACCTCAGGCGGTGCTGCCGGAGCTGGTGGGGGAATGCGTTTAAACCAAAGCAGCCCAAGCTCTCCTTCTTACATGGAAACAGGGTTTGTCTGCTCTGGGGTCTGAGTCCAACAGATGCGGCTTCATGCGGAGACCGAGGTCTGTATCACCACCGAAGCAAACCCCCCCGTGGGACCCTGTCCCGAGCCCCCAACTCCCAGAGGGGACCCCAACCCCTGGGGCCACCCCGACCTCCAGCTCGCCACTCCCACGCGTGGGAGCAGGATGGTGTGGGATGCTGGGGACACCAGTTTGGGGACTGGGACAGCAGCAGCGCTGGGGGTGATGCCTGGGAAGGGAGCACAGGCTGAAGACACCCAGCCAGGACCCTCAGCAGCAGTGGGCAGAGGGACGGCGGGTGGGTGAGACGGGGACAGCGCAGCCTCCCCATGACCTTCTCAGACATTGTGTCATCTTTCCACATCCCTCCACAAAAAATCCCTACCAACCTACACAACCTAAAAAACCCCACAGATTAGGAAATCCAGGGGAACAAAAGGAAGCAGAGAGGGGCCTTGGGAGCAGGGCTGGGTGCTGCCTGGTGCTCACAGGCAGGCCAGGACAGGTCAGGGTAAGAAGTTTCCAAGGCAGCCCTGGAGAACATTTCCCACCCAGACCAACCTGGTTCCGGCCTGGGAACTGTTGCAAAAACACCCAGTCCCACCCTGAGATTTGAGGAAACAAACCTTGTGATGCAACCAGGAGGGATGAAGCAAGAGGCGCTTGCTCAGTAAGCAGGTGACAGACCCAGCACCACGAGGCTGCATGGGCAAGGCATCAGCCAGCTGCTAAACCTCCCCAGATGCTGAACAGCCTCCGGCATCACCACCTTCCCCTTTGCCCCCCCCCGTGCTGAGCTCTCCCCGCCGGCAGGAACCGGCCGCCCGCCCAAGAGCACAGTCCCTGTCACAGCCTGACCCTTCAGCGGCAAGCGAGGATGACAGGGTTATTGGGAAACAAGTTGACACTTCCAAACAGATTCTCTTTGCTGCTCTTTTCCTTCCTGAAGCTGGTCTGAGCATGGCAGGGGTTGCTCAGGAAAGCCAGCAAGCTAATATATTCATGTCATCTTGCATTTGGTGCCAGGACATGAAGTAAACACCGTCAGGGACCTCGCTCCAGTTCAAAGACAAGCCCTGTTTCTTATTCCGATCACATTATCCATGCTCCCCATACAGCTTCATTGATTCATATCTTAAAAAGAAAAGCCTTCAAAACCCATTAAGTCTGCCTTGCTGTTCCAGCCCTGCTCTCAAGGGCTAGGGCAAGAAGCATTAACTAATCTGCTCACATTACCTTGCCTTTGAACCGAGCATCTCTCAGCGTCAATCAAGAGTGTTTGGAAGTGATACACTCCCACACGGGACGATTTTTGACCAGTGAGGTCACCCAGTGTCAAGCGAGTGGAGGGACAGGCACTTAGGCATTGGTCCCTGCATCAGGCTCCCTTTCGCACTCGGGGACCACCCAGGGCTCGTGTCTACAGAGGCAGAGTGGAGCAGCCCAAGATACGTTCCTCTGTTTAGTTATAGAGGACTGTACGGTTATAAACAAGCCCATGAAGGAGCAATCTCCTGCGGCTGCTCTTTCCCAGGGCCTCAGACAGCAAGAACAGGGACCTTGCTGGTCAGCCCATTGCAAGCAGCAATGTCCTCCCAGGGATTACGAAAGCCACGCTGCCTATTGCCAGGGAAAAGAAGGTCCTTCCAGCCTCTTGGGCTCCAGCTCAGCCAGCAGCCGCTGTTTATTTGGCTTCAATCACTTACCCGAAATGTGCTCCTGGGGGCCCAGCATGTGCCAGAACGGCGGGCCGGGGCGGCGGGCTCAGCCGCCCCACGCGCTTCCCAGTGCTTTGCGTAAGGCAGCTCCGCACCCTCCAGGCTGACTTCTACTTGGGAAGAAATTATTCACTCTCTTTTCCATCCGGCTGCAAGAATTGCTTGGAATGTTTCTTCCATCGCCTTCCTGAAGGCTTCCCATCCCGCCGGTGCCAGCAGCTAGGCTGGAGCCATCCCCTCTGCCCCCAGCCAACCCCCGATTTCAGGGACAGGGACTGTTTACTGGATGGGCTTAGAGAGATTTGGGTTTATTGACATTTTAAGTGCTGCTCATGACTGTTGTTTTTAGGGTTTGAAGCACTTGGAGTGGACATATCCACCAAGAGAGGATTAACCACAGCCGCCCCAGGCCCCTGCCATGGCTGGACTTCGGGGGCATCTCTGGCCCTGGCTGGCTGGGGTTGGAAAGCCAGGCTTACTGGAAAGCTTGGCTTTGTGTTCTCTTTCAGACCTAGTCATTGAACCTGGACTGATCTAGGTTGCTTGGATTCAGTTCTGGTTTCAAAATCCTTCTGCAGGGGCAAGCTGTTTTCCAGTTAATTCATGGGAATGCCCAGCTTGGGGCTTTTCTCAGCTGTCCTGCTGCAGCCAGCATCCATCCCACGTCCGTCCCTGCCTTGCTCCTCAGGGCCAAACTGGAGCCAACGTAAGATGGAGAACCCATGGGGCTGCATGCAGACCCCTGGGAAAAGCCCCAAAAGGAGACACATCCCAGCTTTGGTGAGCACCAGAGTTAGACCCCCTAGGGTCTCCGTGGCTCGGGGCCCACTGACGCGGTGTCCGTGTGGGGCGGGCAGCGCTGGGGGTGTGGGCAGCAGAGAGCATCCACCCGAGGTCCCTCGTGGCAAAACCCCACCCAGGGGGGCAAAAGCCCACACGGGGCAAAATCCCAGAGGGGCACCGACCCACGGCTGCCCCAAAAGCCAGTGCCCGCTGCTCCCCGCCTGCTCCGGGTCAGGACCTTCACGCAGCATTAAACCTTCATGCAGCATTAAATCTTCATGCAGCATTAAATGTGTGCGTTCACCGGCATGCATGTGCACACACACACACGACTGTTTTCCCCTCACCCTCCCCTCTTACAGAGGTTTCTTTCCCAGTTGTACTCTTTAACCTAAACCCACAAACTCACTCGCCTCCAGAAGATGTGTTTTGCATTGCAAAGGGCTGAGCTGGGACAGGGTGAGTGAAGGCACCTCGCTGCCCGTGGACTGGGACAGTTAAGGAGCTTACAGGGGAGGGAAAGGCTTCCCTGGTGAGACGATGGAAACAGGCACAGAGTTCTGGGGGGAGACCATGGGGCCAGAGCCGGGCCGTGGGGAGAGGTGTGCCTGCTGCTGAGCGATGGGAGAGTGGGAAGGAGGAGGCGAACCCAGCCCCAGGCGAGGGGAGGGTGCAGACAAGGTCTGGGGATCAGCTGGCTGAGATGTGTCCCTGGGGAATTACAGGCAGGTCTGAGCCTGTCAGATTACCGGAGCCAGGAAGGGGGGAGTGGGTTGAGGCAGGTCTGGCAGGAGGAGGGATACAGGAGCTGGAGGGAAAGGGAGGAGAGGGGGGAAGGTGGGCAAAGAGGGGAGGGAGGCTCAGGGGAAAGGGGGGAGCAGAGGGGAGCAGCCAGCCCCGGTGGTGATGGGGCTGTTGGCGGGGGGGAGATGGGCTGGGGGAACCATGGGGTGGATGGGGTGGGAATGGGCTTGGTCCATCACAGGTCACCCCCAGAAGCTGCCTGGCCGAGATGCAGGGCCGGGGGGCCAGCCGGGGCGGGAGCACCGGGCACAGAAACCAATTAAGTGCTCAACGAGTCACGGACCAGCCGCTCGGCTCCCTCCCGTCCGAAGGTCAGAGGAGAGCGTCCTCATTTGCTGTCTCTTAATTACAGCTGATCCTGCCTTAATTCCTCCTAAAACCAGCCCTGAGAGCCTTCAGGTGGAGAGAGGTGCCCGCCAGCCAGGGTGACGGGCCAGCCGGGCGCGGGTGACAGCCCCGGGCCGAGCGGTGCCTCCGGGGGGGACGCGAGGGGCAGGCGGCGCTGCGTGGTGATGGAGGAAGTGCCATGTGCACCACCGCCCTGCTCCTCGGCACGCTGGTCATGATGCTGCGGAGACACTTCTTCAACAAAGTCGAACCGTACGTCCTCTCCCGCCCCCTTCCCATCCCCTCGGGGCGGCAGGGTGAGGGCTGGCCCTGGGGTGGGGGATCTCGCTACTCAGCCTAAGACCCATCCTTAGAGATACTTGATTTCCTTCTAGTTTTGGTTGTCTGGGTGACACCAGGAGATGTTTCCTTGTGCTGGGCAGAAGGGAGACTTCTGTGATGCGCTGTCACCTTCTCCTTGTTGCACCAGTGAGAGCAAGGAGGAAATGCAGGATTGGTTCCCTGTCTTTCTGGTGAAAAGGGAAAGGGCTGAACTCCTGGGATGCTTTTACACGCACCCATTAAGGTGTTTCCCAAGTGGAGCACTCCAGCACCCTGCTATCCATCCAGGCAAGCAGCCTGGCTGCCTGTTTGTCTTCATGCCTTGGCTGGGGAGGAGACTGAGCAGTACTCTCAGCCGTGAGAACATCACCAGGCTGCCAATGACACCCAGCAGCACCCAACTGGCAAACCTTCATCTGACATAAAATAGCCCTGGGGAGGTCCCGCTCCATCCCTGGGGTGCTGGGAGGTTGGATGAGGGTCTGGGTGAGGATACTTGAGAGCATCAGCTAAATGTTGGCTGTCAGAAGAGCCAGCAGCCCCCACCCTGCAGCCGTGGCCCTGTGGCTCTGTGCTCCGTGCCCACGCACACGCTTGCACGCATCCTGGCTCCGAGGCGATGGCCGGGAGCAGATGGGAAGGGACTTGCTGCAGTCCCGCATCAAGGCAATGACAAAGCCGCGACCGGAGCGCAGGATCACCTCCTGCTCGGTGCATCCCCGCTGCGCCACGGGCACGGTGCCGGCGGCTGCGGCTTCCTTCCACTACCTGCAGCTCCCCCTTCCACTACCTGCAGCTCCCCGTGTCTTTCGGGACAGAGTTTTGTTCCCGTTCAGCACTCACTTGGCTTCAGCTCACGGCGGGGCCAAGCATCGCTGTCGCTTGCTGTGCAGCCGCCTGCTTGAACGCCAGGCTCAGCTCGAGGAGGTTTCCGCTGGAGACGGGCAAATCTATTTACCAGTGGAGACTGGAGACATCTGAAAGTGGGAAGGTCAAATTGGCACTTAATGAGCCAATTAAGTCAGGGGAGGGAGAAACAAGACTGGAAGCAGGGAAAGCATCTCCTGGCCTGCGTGTCCCTGGCCCTCCCCATGCTACCTGCAGCAACAGCCAAATTAAAGATTCATTAAGTGCCTGAGAAAACATGTGCTCGCTGCAGAGGTGGGAGCTGTCTCTGGGCAGGGGGCACGGGGGTGGCTGGCAAGGCTGGCAGAGCTGGCAGCCTGCAGGTCTGTCCCTTGGTGAGCAAGCAGCGCTGCCCGCACCCAGGGCAGGTAGGTGGCTGGGGGACAGGTCACCTGGAGCGATGGCACCGGTGCTGGCAGCGTGTGGCAGCTCAGGGCCCCAGGGAGGCAGATCCAGCTGTGGGAGCAGGTGGGAGCTGTGGTCAGGGTGGCAGGGGCAAGGGTGCAGGGGCCGCTTTGCGGCCGGCTCAGCACCCTGTTAGGAACAAGCAAACCGTGTGCGTGTGGGAGAAAGTGTCAGGGCTGCAGGACTGGTTTGTGGCTCAGCTACCGTTTCCTTGCTGTTAGGAGCGAGCACAAAAGTTTAAAAAAGCTTTTTAATAGCACAAAACCTTACAGGAGGAGGTAGGATGGAGCCTGGACCCGAAAAAGTTGGGATTGGGAGGGAAAGAGGAGCCACCCTAGCTATCTCCATTCACGGCAGGATCAGCACCCCTTCCACCACGTCTAAACCTGCAGCCCAGCCAGACCTTGCACCCGACTGCCATCACCACCACCGTCATCGTCAGCGTGTGGCCGGTGAGACAGCAACGCAGCGCGGGGAGGGAGAGTGCCCAGCACCCACAGCCCGGGGCTGGACTCGGCACGAGGGTCCCCGGCACGGCGGGGGGCCCGGGGAGCACCAGGGACGCTCACGGCTGGGTGCCCGGGAGAAGCTTCCTCCGAGCCCTGCTGCAGCTTTCAGACAGGCACCTCGTCCAGTGCAAAGGCACCAGCCGGTAGAGAAGCCACACACCACCAGATTAGTTCTTTTGGTGATTAATTGCTCTCAGCATTAAAGACCAGTGGTTATTAACAGGATTTCTATTTGCTCCGGTTTGGACTCCCATCTACCCACCTCGCTCTGCGCTGGCATAAATCAGTGCAGTTCTACTGGCAGCTTTATAACAGGAGAGGATTTGTCTCCAGGCTTTTGTATTTTGGAAAAGAGAAGTAGCAGAAGCAAGAGAAAGAAGTGCAGCTGACCAGGGACTGGGGAGAAGTGGTACAGGCGACCAGGGCAGGAGGACTGAGGCTTTGGATGGGCACGGTGGAAGGCAGACAGCATCCTCCAGACCACGAACAGACCCGAGGCACCAGAGCCCCAACTGGATTTTGGTGAGTTAGAGGACCAGGCTGGACAGGCATCAGCAGCCTATACAGCAACAAAGACCAGGATTTCCCATATGTGCACTGGTCTGGATGACCCCTGGATTAAAGACATCCCTGAAAACCAGCACACGGTGAAGAAAAAGGCAGAAACCCGCATGTTCCGTGGGATAAAACTGTCTCGGTGCAGCTACGCCCTTCTGGCTGTGACATCCCCGTGTGGGAAGCACAGTGTGCGTCCTGGGCAAAGGACACAAATGAACAACACAGGCAAGATCAGATTATGCAAAATCCCTGGCTCACTTGACCTCCTTCACGTCCCATCTTCTATTTATATGCCTTGGGGCTGCCAGGGACAGCACGGGTTGTCCTTAGCCCACAGTCGCAGGGCTGGGGGGCTCAGCCGTGGGTCCGTGGGGTTAGGGCTGGCCCCTGGGGCTGGCTGCCACTGTCTCGAAAGGAGAGGTTTGAAGGGTTTCCTCCTAACAGCCCAGCTGTGGGGTCTGCTATCCCCCCCTCTTGCTGGAGGTGAAAAGCAAACTGAAATGCTACCTTGGACTTACCTCCCCATCAAGGGGCAGGAAGGTCAAGGGGAACCCCATGAGCTTCAGTGCTTGGGTTTCTTCAACAAGCAGCGATTTATTCTTTGTTTTATGTGATATTTAACAAGAAGGTGCTGGCCAGGGGCCAGGGCTGGTTATGGATGCCTGCTCTGTTTGCCTTTCTCATGTTCTTCCCCTCTGGTCCCTCCCTGGTGGGAGCTGCTCACTGCCTGCTCCTGAGGGATATGTGGGTTTGGGGAGATAGAAATGCCACTGACCCCAAGCCAGGGGATTGGTCTCGGTGCTGGTCCAGCATGGGGGGACACAGGGCAGTGAGCACCTGAGATGGTGCAGGAGCACCCAAAGGAACCTGCTGGGAAGATCCAGGTCTGCAAGGGGAGATGTTCCCCATGGAGAGTTCTTGGAGAGGGACCAGGTCGGGGGCTTGGTGGGGCAGGGCTGGACTATGGAAAAGCAAAGAAGAGAAGTGAAATGTGGATTTGCCTTTGCTGCTGCTTTCTCAGCCCCCTCACAACAGGCTGGACACGAATCCCCTGGGCCCCACAGAGGTTATTCTCCTAGGAGTGGGAGCCAGGGCATGGAGAGAGGGAGCATTTGGTGCCTGTGCCCATCTCCCCCCACGAGGACACCCTTGTCGCAACCCCACACACCATGCTGCAAGGCGAGAACAGACCCTCTGCACCTCAGGCTGGAGAAAACAGAGCCGGTAGCTTGGCATCATCTGGATTTAGCCTTCCAGCTTAGTCCCCTCTGGGAAGCAGGACGTGACCTCCTCATTTCCACCACCCAGGCATGGCTGGCAGCCGGCAGCAGCAGCACACGGCTCTGCATCTCCGGGCTGGAGCAATCAGTGCGCAGCAGGCATGCACAGACAAGTGTCAGCTGAATTTCTGTACGACTTTAAATACATTAGCAAGGCCACAAACACAGCTCCAAAGTGCTGCAGGCACAGCCAAGCTGATAAATCACCCCCCAAACCCACCAGCAAGAAAATACCCCCCCCCCTCTTTCCATGGGAGATAAGGCTTAACATCACTTTCCCCTTTATAGCTGTATAGCAACTGAGCAGATCCACTCTTCACCTTGCTGTGTTTGAATCCAGTACCAGAAGGGTCAATTCTGTGCCACTTCTGCGGAGTCATTATACTGTCGGTTATATAAATGTCTGGGCATGCACAAAAGGCAGTGCTGATACAGTGGCTCCGACACCAACTCTCTCCAACACCTGCTTTTCAGCTGGAGAGAAAGCCGAGCACAAGAACATCTCGAGAGCTGTCACACAGAAAGCTGCTGTCTTTCAAGCTGAATGGAGGTCTAAATAGCTCTCACTTCTCCTTTAGAATCTCATTTCTAAATGCAATTAATACTGGCACATGCATAATGAGAGACTGACGAGTGAATACAGACTCCAGCAATAAAGAAGCCAGCCCCAAGTGCTATGTAAATATTACAAATCCTCACTAGAAGCTGACCGGGGAAGACAGCTTTCTGATGATTAAACCCAAGTGACAGTACGACTGGATTCCTACATCTGTCACAATACTACCTGCTGATACATAATGAGTTACACTAAAAGAACTCGCTCTTGCTGCTCTTCAATGCAGATAAAATGTCTATTTGTAGAATGTAATTAATCTCTTCTTCAGAATCAGAAACCTTAGTGTCCTTGGTAACAACATGCCAGTGACTCAGAGAGCATCTCCAGCTTTTTCTTCTGATTTTTGAGTGAGTTATTGAAAGTGACCCCAAATTCTAGCACTGAAAAGGAGCTGCACTTCAAAAGTGGAAAAGCCAGCTGGGTACCTGGAGGTGGGGATGGGTTTTACCCACCTCTCATCTCTGCAGGGCTCCTTGGGCAGCTTAAGGAGGCTCCTGGGCCTGTTTCAGCCACGTTCCCTAGGATGAGATGAGCTCTGTCCCAAGGCCTGTTCCCCAAAAATTCCCTTTTACTATCAGGTGTAACCAGGCTGGGAATAATACTGAAAGCAGAGCAAGGGCAAGAATCACAGGATGAAGCTGCTCCTTCATTTGCCTGGATTCCACAGGCAGTAAGTGCTGGGCCATCATGCTCTGTGTGTGTGTGTGTGTGTACATTCACACACGCGTGTGGCTGCTCCCCCAGATGCCTTTTGAGCCTGTTGGCTCATTTCAGCCAAGTTTGGCCCTGGATAGAGGTTCAAAGACACCCAGTCCCTACCAGGTAGCAAAGATGCAAAGCCATGAGCACTGGCATGGCAGAGGGGTGCAGGGAAGTGTTGCTGGCAGAGCTCTGGGTCCCTCTGAGGGCTGTGCTTGGACATCGCCTGCTCCTCTGGCCACCCCACTCCGGCCTGGCTGAGATGGGTGCCAAAAAGGCAAAGCTGGGCCACTCGAAAGCACCAAGGGGCCATATCTGCTTTCTATGAATTTCAGTGGGAAACAACCACTGCCAGATGTCCCTCACTTGCCCAGTTCCAAAGCCCAGGGGAAGGATGGTCCGTGATAAAGGGACAGCTGGTTGGAGAGAGTAGGTAATGAAGGACTTGCACGATTTATTTCTTTGCAAAAGAGAAATAAAAAAAAAAAATGTTGGATAAAATCACCATATTCCAGGCTAAACTGTGCTGCAGCAATTCCTTGTGGGTCTTGAGCTGAGGTGCTTGGCCCCCCTGCAAGGGGCGTTCACCCCTGCCTGTTGCATGCTGCTTTGCAAAGCCTGGGGGATGTGGTGAAAAGGAGGTTTTTGTTGTTACCAAAGGCTCGGCTCCTTTGATGCAAAGCCACCCTTTCTTGCAGCAAGTTACCACTCATTTAGAAAGGGCTGCAGTCGGCACCACTGCCCACAGCTCACCCCATCTCCTCTGTCCCCAGGCACTCGGAGGGAGAAGAAGAGACCAGGAGAGAGGCTGGCTCTGACCCTCGCACCACGTAACACTGCTTTGGAGAAAAAGCCAGGTGGGATGTAGCAGTTATCTGGGTTAGATGCAGCTTTGGGGAAATTGTGGAAAGTGCTAGCTTGGGGTAAAAAGCCCCCTTCTGGCCTGATCACAGACCCCTCAGGCATTTTAATGATGGTTTCTTCCTACTTCACCCAGGATTTGTAGTTCTCTCTGCCTTACTGGTGAGGCTGTGAAGGCTCTAGAAAAGTGGCTTGCACTGGGGGAAGGAAATTAGAGACCGAAACAGCCAGATTGGAAGGGAAAAGCCTATTTTCCCATCACTTTCAATAGCAGCTCAGTTCCCAGGTGAGGGTACATTTAGCCTTTCCTCTGTGGCCTCCCATCCACTGCCTGGATGCCAGAAGCACCTCGTGGGGACAGAAAAGGCAGCAGAGCCAGTGGTGGTCCAGCTGGGGTGGGCATGGGATGAGTGTGACGGGGGGATCTGGGACTGATGTGGTTTTGTGTCCTGCACGGTGACTCCAGGGAGCGAGGGCTGGCTCAGGCTGTTCATCTGCAGCTGCCAGCAAAGGTAGGGCAACTCACACCAATGTCTTGGCTCTGGGGAGAAACCTGTGGTGTTGAGGGTGAGGGGATGCTGACCTGGGCTGGGGCACGTGTGGGGTTCGGGGGGGAATTGAGGCCAGGGCTGTCTTTCCTAATCCCCCCCAGCCTACAAGGCACTGCTGAATGCCCATGGGCAGCTCAGGCATTCACCTTGCCCTGCCTTCCTTTCAGCAGATCCCCCAATGCTCATAACCTCATCCATCCCAGCTCAGCAAATGATTAACTGTGACTCCTTCTCCTCCTGCAGCTCCCCTGCGCCCTGCAGCCGGCACCCAGCACATCCCGGCCTCAGCACATGCTGAAACCCCCAGCAAAACAACCCACGATGCCGACCTGCACACTGGTGAACCCACATCACCCCGGCGCCCCCCCCCCCAGCTCAGGGAGGACCAGGCACTGGGTTAAATGCTGGCACAGAAAATAAATTTGCCTGTCTTTAAGGCTGAGCCCTGGGGGGGTGGCCGGCAGCCCCACGGCGATGCCCTCCGCAAGCCGAAATGCACCCTGTGAGCATGTGGGGTTCACACACCCTCCGCAGCTTTCCCATCTATATAAATACGTTAATAAAAGATCAGTTTGCAGACGCAGCTTGCTGTAGATGACAGCATTAGAGGCGCATCTGTTTCTACTAAGCGCCAGTCTCGTGCTGGGTTTATTTGGTCCATTTGCGGCAGGGAAGAGTTGCTTTCGGCATTCAGAGATGTCTCGTGTCTGGGAGAAGTGTGGGGGGGAGATATATTTTTGGCTCTATTTAGCCACAAAAATTTGGTTTTAGAATAAAGAAAAATATTCCTGTTTTCTGTTTGCTGCCAAACTGATGCAGATGATTTCTTGTGCAAGCCTTCATTTGTTTGAGAACTCGGTGTCCTGTTGGAAGAATAAATGTTCTGATGGGAAAAGTCTATCAGCATGCATTGATCAGTCATTGGGACCGGTGGAGTTGGAAACGTCAGCTTCAACCTAACAGAAAAAGCAGCTCCCAAAGCTTTTGCCAATACATATAAGGCAGAAGGAGACAGGTCTTTTTTTGTGTGAGTGGAATAGTCACACAGCAGAATCCTTCCTGCGGGCACAGTTGTGCCAGCCTCACCACAGCTGACATGAATTTTCAGTGCCAAATACACCCACCTGGCACCCAGAACAGGCTGTTTGCTCCTGTCTGAGAGCCGGCCACTGCTGGGGGCCATGAGCAGGACACAGCACCGGGGGAAGAAGCCCTGGATGTGGCTCCTGTCCGGGATGCTCCTGGCTGATGGCAGCACCTCTTCTCCATCCAGAGGCTGCAGGGTCACCTCCTCTGCCACCGAGGTAAGGCCAGACAGACAGACAAGAGCTCCCAGCAGCTTGGTTCTCCACAGTAAGAATTTCAAAAGTGCCTATAGAGTTTTCCTAATAGTTTTTTTTTTTTTTTCCCTGAGGCTTTTTAATTAAGCCTTTACAACTTTAACTCACTTTAACCAATTTTTTTTTCTTCTTTTTGGTAAAGGAAATATTATGATCAGGAAGAATAAAACTGCTGTTTTACCTGGAGCTGCCTTAATTTTATAGCAGAATAAAAGCAAGATGGAGAGTCAATAATGTCAGAAAGGGGGATCGGGATGAATACAATGTACACGCACTGAAGGCAACACAGAAGTGATTGGGGGGCTGGAAAGACAAAAGCTTATCAGGATTGAAGCCCCAAAAGCAGAATCAGCTCCTTAGATGATATAAATCACCTGGACTCCCCTGACACACGGGTATTGCTGTAGCATGGCTTTTATGTATTGATTTAAGTGAAAACAAAGGTCAGGGGCTTAGCTGCAGAGGAGGCATCAGGGCTGAGGCTGTTCATCTCTGGGTGGGCAGTGATGAGCAACAAGGAGGATCTGCAAGGTCAGAAATGAGATGGAGAGGAGCCCCAGGAAAGATGCACATACACTGGAGCTACAATAGCCCCAAAGACTAGGAGCAGAGCCTAATGTAACCCACTGAGCATAGCTGCCTGGAGCCCAGATTTGGAGGGTTAGCCCAGGCACAGTCATCCTGGATTTAGGGAAAATCCAGATTCCAGTCGGGACCTTACCATCAGTAATTCTGACCTTTCTCCCCATCTGGACTAGCACACAAAAAATCCCACAAAGGACAACATGGGGCCAGCTGGAAATGGTGTCTGCAAATGTCACAGTGCTGCCGGGAACAGGGTCACTGCACTGCAAACCTGGATGTGCAAACATCACTTGCTAAATCAACTGCATGGGGGTGTTGTAGATTTGGGGAATAAAGGTTTCCTGAGCCATGGAAAGGCCAGCTCTTCGCCTGGGGACCTCTGAGAGGGTGGATTTCGTGAGAAATGCTCTTTATTTACTCAATCAGCCGCAGCCAGCAGCTGAGCTAAGAGCAGGCAAGCCTGCCTGTAGCGAGTGGCTGCGTGAGGGTTGCTGGCTGCGACAAGGTGTTTGCTGTCTGCGCTGAGATTTGTGATGGTCCCGGAAGGCCCTTGGTGGGTGGGAGTGGGAATTCGCTTAACCTCATTAATTGTGTCCTCTCTGCTGGCCAAAACCACCCTCCGCTTTACAAGAAACACAGAATCAGTAGTGACAGCCCTCACAGGCCAGGCACGATGTCACCGGCGGTTCTCTGAGGGATGGGATGCTGACGGTGTCCTCAGGGCCTGGAGGCTGAAGGACATTATCCCACCATCGTGGTCCTGCTGAGATGTCACTTGTTTGAGAAGGAAGTAAGGATTGTGACATCTCTGCTCTTCCTCCTTCCATCTCTGTCCCCATTAAAATACGATTTGGAAAAAAACAAAAGGGAAATGAAACAGCAAGTGGGCTACACACAGCTGGGGGGTGGTGGAGGGGGTGCGGAACCAGCAGTCCCACGCAGCCTGGAGGAAGAGGCAAAGCCATGGGGCCTTGCTGGGCCCAGCTCCCCAGGGTTTATCTGACTGTCTGTTTTCATCATTTCTCTGAGAGAAGGGAAAGGGACCACACAGCAGCAGAAAGTCCTGGAAATCTGTGAGGGAGACTGTTCCCAGCACCCTTCCCTCCAACGTCGCCCCTGTATACAATTGGCTATGGAGGATGTACAGCTCCGTATAGGCTCCAACTCAGTGAGATAACGACTCACAATTAAATTCCTAATTGCAGCCAGCAAGTGCACTTTCCCAGCTCCGGCCCTTCTGTCTCAGTTGCACTCATGGTCGCTCTGACGGATCAAGTGGACCAGGGCTGGGGTCACCCCATCTTAACAGGCCTGTCTGCCCCATCCCCTCCATATGAGACACTGCTGTCTCTCCTCTGCTCCCGCTTCTGAGGCATCCTAAAGGCTGCTTGTGTCCTATAACTTTTCCTTTTCTCAAAAAAAAAAAAAAAAAAAAAAAAAAAAATCAAGTAGAAGCACAGGGAGGAAATTGCTTCAAGTTTCTTAACTATCTCATGGAACAAAAATGCTTCTTAAGGCTGTTCAGGGAAAGAGAGGGTCAAATGTCCCTCATTAACACTGATTTACTGAGAGGGCTGGGAAGTGGAAGAGGGAGACAGTCCAGCCGCCTGTCTCAGTGCTCCCTGGTCTGGGATCCAGGCTGGGAGGTGAGGGTCAGTCCCCTCAGCATGAGACCAGGGCGGTGGGTTTACTGGCAGAAGGTACAGTGGGGTGCAGGCTGCCTGCACCCCAGAGCAGACCCGACCCGCGCTAACACGGCACAGAGGCAGGGCAGAGCTCCCTCAGCTCTCAGCAGCAGTTTGGAAAGTTGGTGACTTTCTGAAGAAAAGAGCAGAAGTCCCTTTGCAGGGAGGCTGGTACTGGGTTGGGGCGGTTTCCTTGCACCAACTTCAGCCCTTGCTGCCCTTCACCAGGCAGCCTCCAGCTGGAGCCTTGTGGAGAGGAAAGGGAGAAGACTGGCCCAGATTCGAGGGTGTAAATCAGCAGGGTTCCTCTCCAGAGAGAGCTCAATTACACTGATTTACACTTGCTGCGGATTTGGTCCATTCAACCCAATTAAAACTCCAGAGGAAGTGCAGAGAGGCAGGATGTAATTACCCGCGCTGGAATCCCAGTTCAGAACAGGAGGCAGAGCTCTCCGGATCAAATTAATCCCTGGTGTAACTCTGCCGAAGTTACACCAGGGCTATAATTGGCCTGAAACATTTTAACTATCTCATTTAATGTTATTCATGCTCTGCTGGAGATGAGAATGTTTATCCTAAATGAGAGACTCTAATGCTCCGTAGCAATAATAGAGTGTGAGGCTTATGCGGTTTCTCATTTACAAGGATGCTGGGGAGACCAGATTGTCACGGAAGATGCGGCAGATCTGGACTCCCCAAATCTTTAACCATTTCCATGGCTCCTGCGGTGGTTGGTTGTCCTGTTGTCCTTCCTCCAGTATGCCCACCCTCCCCATGCCCAGGCTGCTTTTCCGTCTCTTGGAGATGTTGGGGGCTTGTACCCCAGACCCAGCCAGGGGCAGGAGGAGAAGATGTAAAGTGGTAGGAGAAGGAATGGAAAGCACTAAGAGAGGCCTTTCAAGATTGAAGTTCCTATAAATCAGTAGCAGCGAGATTTCCCAGCAATAGATTTCCCTCACCAGTGATGCTAGAAGAGGGGGCTTCCATCAATGAGAGCTGGCTCCGTGGCCTTTCTCCGAGTCACTCCGGGGAAGCAGCCCCCCAGGCTCCTGCAAAAGGAGCAGGGTCAGCGCTGGATATAGCTCAGCCAGCACACAGAGTGCCACAGTCCCTGCTGCCAGTCGGACACCCCCACGGACAGTGTTTCCAGCTGCCAGCCCTGGGTTATCTACCAAGCTCAGAGGACGATCCCACAGTCATTTCTGCTGCCACCCCAGAGGAGGCCTGAGCACGCTCCCCGCAGTGGGAGGCAGCAAGGCATCGTCACCCTCCGTGGGGATCACGTCTCGGGAACCACGATCCATCCCGCGGCGATGCCATCGGCCAGCCCAAGCACGCATCCTGCCGCTGGGAAAGCAAAGCCTGCGGGTTACATTCCTCCCTGCCACAGCAGTGCTCGGGCTGGTGGCACCCAGCCAGGGAAGCAACTTGGCCTCAAACCTCTGCTGCGTGCCCTGCATCCCCCCTGAGCCAGCCCTGGCAGGTACGGCTCACTGCAGGCTCTGCATTGGCATCACCCTGCTTTTGGAGGATTGTGATTATCTGTCATTAAATCGTACTTCCACTCCCTAGGCTGTTTTTAAGACAGACCCCTGGTCTTTCCCTCTGCTCCCTTGCCAGTGGAAACCACAGGAAAGGCAGATCTGTTTGTTCCAAAGCAATTTTTAATACCCTGTAGCTTAGCAGAGGCTTGAGCATTACAATTCATTCTGGCTCCTCTGTGTTCCTCAGAGGATATTAGATCCTTCTCTTGATACTTCTTCACTCTTTGTAGATGTTACCCCAGTTTTAATTTCCAGGGCTTCCAGACTGTTTTTAACAATGCTGAGCTTTCAAGATGCTTCCTTCAAACTTTCTCCAGCCATGCTTTCCCAGAGCCTAAATAGCTTTGATTATTCCCAGATGTTTTTAGTTTGTTAACCCCAGAGTAGTATTGTGTAACGGCTTGGAAAGAAGACTGGTAGCAGGCATCCTGGGTTCTCTTTCCTGGTTCACCGAATTATTTCCCGAGCAGAACATCTATGGGATTTATCCTACAAAAGCAATGCCATTAGCACTGGGTTATCTTGCTATGGAGAACAGGACTAGAGGTGGCTGAAATCCTCCTGCTGATAAAGATAATCCTCTGAAAGCATGAGCCATTTCTCCACCCAGTTCCTCCTTATCCTCTCTCCTGAGATTTCTAAGCAGGATGACATGTTGGGGCAACAAGCCCACCCCCTTTGAGCAGGCATCACCGAGGCTGCCAGGCAGCACCCAATGGAAAAGACTTCAACCACCTCCAGGCCAGGCGGGATTCAAGCTGTGGCCATCCCTACCCACCAGCCACCCAGTCAACAGCACAACAGCAGCTCTGCTTTGCTTGGGCCAAGTTTTCCTTGGCCTGGGAGGATGTGTGAGTATATCCTGACAGGCCCAAGTGTGGGGAGTAAGGAGTTTTACACAACTGGCTGAGCTCCTAACAAACCTCTGTGGCCCTCCGGACTCTGGCAATCCTGCCGCTCTCATGCTGAAGCCATTGCATCGCTGAACACACAGAAAAAATATCCCCATTCCTACTAGCAGAAACCCAGGGTGTAGTCGAGCTGGCAGGAGACACGGTTCCTCTCAACCATCCATAAATCTTCCCAAGATCACCCCAAGTACCCCATATTTCTTGGTGTCTCCACCCACTGTGCTGGATCCTTCCACGTCCGTTTCTCAGCCCAGTGCTTAGCTCTGCAAAGCCCAAGGTTACTGGGATGGGTGTGAACACATCACATAACGTCTCCCTCCCATATGCAGAGGACCATGCCTAGGCAGGTCAAGGAACAATAAAGAAGGAGGAAAACAAGATGGGGAAAGGGAAAAGAGCATCATGAGAGAATATTTTTTTAGCAGAGGGCTA